TGACCCGAATTGGTCGTGAACAGAAGTGTTCGTGACCCGAGGTACCACTGTATTTATGTTATTCTCACACAGGGAAACCTCAAGAATCCCAAAATGAAACCGCTAGTCGTTTATACCTCTTCTCCCAATGTGCTTATTAAGTCTTCCAATGTCTCTGCAACTTTAACCGTTTCAGATGTTTCTCTTGTGCTGCTGTCCTATTTCAGTGAGACAAAACATCAGATGCCAAAATGAAAGCCCCAATAAGGTTGAAGATGTTGTCACAATTGTAACATTAAATATCAAAAATGTGGCACTTATATGTACCTTTTGGCAACTCATTCCAGGAAAATGCCATATTGTAAGATACTGCATTGACATTTTATGATACTGCAGTTAGAAAAAAAATCTTTTTATTCATAACACAATTCCATGGTATTCTCCTTTTAAATTCTATTTATTTTGAATTTGGTTAAAATAAATTGATCCCACAATCACCATTTGAGACCTTCACTGCTGGCTTCACACTGGCTTCCAATAAGCGAAGCCAATGTGGAAGCAGGCAGGAGGTCGCAAATAGCAACCACGTGAGGTTGCACTTAATGACTGTGTGGGATTCGCTTAAAGACAGCAACCGAAGTGCCAGAACTGCTGTTTTAAGTTGGCACAGTCACATGACATTGCGCTTTACGACCGCATTGTTTAGCAATGGAGTTGCTGGTCCCAATTACTATTGTTAAGCAAGGTCTACCCGTATGACACATTTTAAGACCTCTGTTTATAGGAAAGTGTCAGGGAATATGGAAGCAATCAAATGTCTGGAGGTTGAGTCATGGCAACTGGACTTCTTTTCTTTTTGGTTAGAGAAATTCCGCTACTTGTCCACGCAGCTTCTTTAGTCTTCAGCTTGGACAAGTAGCGAAATGTCTCTAACCAAAAAGAAAAAAAGTCCAGTTGCCGTGACTCAACCTCCAGACAATTCCACCTGGATGACTGAGAATCTTCATAAACAGAAAACAATCAAATGACTTTTCATTTCAAGTTCCAGCAGCTAAGTAGGGCATGTAAAATTTAAATCAATCTAGCCACTTGGAAATGCAAATGCTAGCTGCCGAGATCCTTTAGTCTTCCACTGTATCTGTGTAATGTACTCAAACCCACTATCAACTTCTGTGGAAGCCCAAGTGAGTCACCTGGGTTCTATCCACATTTTATCTAGAACCTAATGGTGCTAATAATAATAGCTTACTATGTTGCTAAATAAGATTAACACATTATTTTATGATGTTACAAAGGATAAAGAAACATAATAGCTTTTTTGCAGCCATATGTAATTTGGAATAAATAAGGAATTGCTAATCACAAGAAGTGCCCTACATCTGAAAAATTCTTCAGCAGCATACCCCAGAGATTTTCTTATCTTGTCTTATTTACTACGGCCCACAAAGGATTTCAGGACATCTTTCCAGAAGGAAGTGTCACAGTATGCTGGGTACTGAGAAAGCTTGCCTATCTTCAACATTAAAATTAAAATTGTTACAGCAAGTTCTAGAGTAACTTCAATAGAACTTGTATCTGTTTACAACTGGTCAGGTGTTCACTGGGCAAGCATTCACAATCAACAGACATATTTCTCTGCTTTACTTTTCCAGATATAA